GAGCGAAGCAGGTTAGTTGAATGGTTTTATATTCCTTAAAAATATTTATATTTTTAATGCTTTTACCTTAATTTTGATGTATAATTATTCCCAATTTTTGTTGCGTTGTTACTGTATTTAATCACTTGTTATCTTTTGTCTACGGATGGCAATTATTATCGTTGATTTTGATAGATTTTATTCTCTCATTTGACGTCCACGCGTCCTAACGCTAATCCGACATTTAAACATTTCGATGAGTTCACGTAATATTAACTCATGAATATCGTTAATCATAATTTGAAATTATATGTGTTGTATAAACTTATTCTTTATCCCATTAGTTTAATTTTTTTTTTTTTAGGAGGTCAAAATTTAGCTTGTATCGTCAATTTCAAATAACTACGTTACTATTCATTGCAGACTTGTTTTTGATTTAAATATTAATTTAATATTTACATCGCTAAATCGAAAAGTTATATTAATTGAATAAATTAATTATTTATCGATTAGTATTACAAGATTCAAACATTTTGTAGCAGTCCTACAAGTACCAATAGCATGTGCTGTATTTACTTTAAATATGGCGCACGTTGGTTTTTTTTCCTTTTCTTTTACTCCAAACTATTTAAGTTTAACTGAATTTTATTCAGACATTAGGCATATGTTATTTTGGGTGCTTAACCATAAGATAATGATAGCATAGCTGGCCCTTGCTACAATAATGAATTCGATCTGTACTATGTGCCAGATATTTGTGGCCTTCAAGTGAGTTAGATCCTAAATGGATACCTCATTATTGTAAATCTGAATGATAACTTGGTCTCGATTCCTTGAGATTTAATTTTAATTATCAATTGATTAATCGCTTTCGGTATTATAAGTGTTTGAATGTAAATTCCTGCTACCTACCGTTTTTACTTTTGTCAAAATTATTTATTAAATTTCAGTGTATTTGCGACAATGTCTGAGACTACAACGAAAGCCGTAGCGCCAACACGACAACCCTCTAGGAGAACTCCTGGCAGGTAGTAAAATAATCTTGTATTTTTAAATTATTTTTTTATATTATATCAATTCCTTGAGCAGAAATTTAATTTCTGCTCAATGTCTGTAGAAGTTTTTTTTTTTTTTTTTTTTTTAAACCACCCACGTGTTATACATTGCATTGATATTTGAAATTTACTCAACACTGCAGACACTCAGTCTGTCAGTCCTCTTGTTATAAATTAACGATCTTGATATTAAATACATGGTTGCTTTATATCGGAAGGAATTATTTTATTCCTTGTTGGTCAGAAATCAGAAAACCAATATTACATAGGTAACTCCATGAGATCGCTAATAAAAAAAAGAGCATAGCATGATGAAAAAGACGCCAAACTTGACGAAAACAAAATTTTATCGTCTAAATGTTTTATGAAGAGGAAAGACCAAAGTTTTTTGGGTTTTTTTTTTTTAATTATTTTTAAAAAAATTTCCATTTTAGAACATTCTAAGTTTTGATTAAAAAAAAACAAAAAAAAAAAAAACTTGTTTCTCTTTGTATCACCGGAACTAGTAAAATAACATACAATTTTTAACACTTTTTTTTTTTTTTTTTTTTTTTTTGACACATTAATTTGGAAAATGTTGCAAAAATAATTGTCGGATGATGATCGAAATTTTATTAAAGTCATGGCAGAAATTTCATTCATTCATTTTTATTTATATATATATACACACACACACACACAACTAATTTTATTAAAACTCTAGAAATTCGACTGAATCCAGTTTAGTGATTACAATAGTTTAAAAGCCCAAGGCTTTGAGAAATGCACATCATGTGAAAGTATCAAGAACAGCATAACCCAGAGGTTGGCAATGTACCACATGTGGCAGATAACTGCAAATAACATCACAAAGTCCAAACGAATAACTACTACAATGCAAAGAAGATATTTAGCTGTTTTAAAATTGCTCACCCCCTTGGATTTCATGAATAATAAAAACTTAAAAATTAAGCTTTTAAAAACAGTATATTTCTATTAATGTTGTTTACATATTATTGTATATATTACTATCAAATGTATTGTAGAACTGCTATATTGACCTTGTATAAAAATACATATGCTGTTAAATGATTTTGAAACCCTGAGTCAGCACAGTCAACAAAAGGTTGGCGACTCCTGCCATAACCAACTCTCTCCTAAATATATGCAGTAAGGTACAACATTGGCATGAGTAGTAAGATTGATTAAGAGCAGGGACATGTGATAAGGATTTTTTTTTGTTGTTGTTAAAATATAAAAAAAATTGTTTAATTCAAGCTCTTTTTTCTGATTGACCACTTTAATAACATTGAATAAAAGGGATTTTCAATCATGATTCTTTTGTTTTTAACCCGATGGTAAATTATACACTTTTACTTAGTAATAACTTGTTTTGGTGTTTGCAGGCTTTATGCAAAAGCTGTGTTCACTGGATATAAGCGAGGTCTCAGAAACCAATATGAGCATACTGCTCTTTTGAAAATTGATGGCGTTTTAACAAGAAAAGAGACAGATTTCTATCTTGGCAAGAAATGTGCCTATGTCTATAAAGCCAAAAGGTAAGTTTATCATCTTTGCTCCAGCAATGCTTTACATGGGGCCACATTAGGTTAAATTCAAAACATTTGATATTTAAAGTAACTATAAAATTAATGTCTCTCATCCCTTTTGTAAACTTGTAAGGCCTTAATTGTTTAATGACTAATGAAATTAACTTTTTTGAACTTGCATGCACTAGATTCAGTCTCTTATCAAGATGAACTATTCTTGATTGGTATGTGGTTAGTGCAATAATAAATGTACACTCAAAAATTTATGCCATCCCATTTTGTTCGGTATTGTTTTGAGTGTGCAAACAATATTAATAAAATTATATTTTTGTTCTACAGTATTTTTCTTGTACCAAAAAATATTTGAGCTCTCATTTACAGGAATATTGTTATGATATTAAATAATATGAAGTAATGGGATAGGTCATCATTATTTTTGGAGTATTGTATATACTTGTGTATAATGCAATTTGTTGGGGGTGGGAGGTTATGCAATAAATAGGCACATTATACACAGGCAATATTTTTTAAGGGGTTAATCATTAGGGTAGGTTGATTTTCAACTTTTTTTTTTTTTTTTGAATATTAAAAAGAATCAGCCAGGGAAAGTTGGGTATTGGTATGATAAGTACTGACACCAAAAAGTAGATTTGTAGCTTGCACCAATTTTTGAGCATTTAGTTTAAAAGATCGTCTAATATGAAATTGTTTAAAATATTTATAATTTAAATCCAGAAAAGTTTGTCAATTTATATTATTCAAATGAAATAACTACAATATATCAAAAGGTAGCAATTAAATTGAAATTATAAACCCCCACCCCACCAGCTCAGATAAACTGCATTTAACTCATTGAGATATGTCAGTAATAACATTGCAAGATATTGTAAAACAGTTATTTTTTCTGTTATCAATGAAACAAAAGCAAACAAGTATGGACTTTGCTAGGAACAAATCAAGGGATGATGATGATTTTAATATAAACTACCATTGCAATTTGAACACTACTCTAAAAATCTACTGGTTATTAATAGTGAGTCTTTTAAGTTTCGATTTTATATAATAATTGTAAGGCATAAAATTATAAAAGACATGCCAAAAAACGTGAGTGCTGTGAGAATAATATCAATTTTTATTTTTGCATCATATTAAACTGCTCTACTTAAGAGCCCTTTGAAGCAAAGGAAGGCCTCATTTCATGGCATAAAACTTTTGTAATGATGTGCCTATGCCTTACTTAAATTCCATAGACTGATTGGGAAGCTGCAGTTGTTAATTTTACTGCCCTTTCAACACTGTGAGTGTAAAGGCAAATCAGGAAACTCTAATCCCACTCATTGATGACTTCCAGATGTTCATAATCAGAAAATTCCACTGTGAATCCCAGGCTCACAAACTCCATTTTGGGACTGGTCAATCAACTGAAACCAATGTATTGCATCAAAATAAAAAAAAATAAACTTGATTGTCTTAATTTTTATAATGAAATTAGGATAGTACTTTAAAATGAAACTATAAATCGATGAAATCATTTTAATCCATATTATGTGAATAATTACCTAATGGCTAAAGTTTTTTATAGATTCTTCCCTCACTTACAGTTCATCTGATTTCAGCAATGCATACAACATATTTTCTGGTAGGAGACCAAAATCATTATGTTGAATATTTTCAAATGCAATCTCTTGAATTTTCAGGTGGTAGTTCCTTAATTCTTTGCAACATATTGAAAATATACACTTGCTCGTTATGAAATTTGTCCTTTTTAATTTCAAACCAGCTAACTGCATGCACTCCGACAATAAACTGGATAAGGCTGTGTAGTTTGGGAAATGTTTTTAGGGTAAATGCCTCGAGTCCACAAACACATTAGTCTGGTGGCTAACATCAACCAGCTTGCTTGATTTAAGAGCCCAATTTTCCATGCAGCATATCTAGGGTTGACTTTTCCTAGTGAAAATCCCTACTGCATATTCTAGAAGAAGTATCTGAACACTACTCAGATCAACTGTCTGTTTGATGCTAGAATATTGGCTATCTAGAGGACTAACTATGGGTACAAATTTGACCTGGGGCTAATTATGATAGTCATTTGCACACAATCTCCCAAGTGAACCAATAAATGTTGAACATCTTGTGTTGCTCTCAATGTGCTTAAAAACAGCTCTGAACGGAAGCTCATTTTTATGTAGAGAGCAACCAATGTGTCTCATTTTCTTTTTATTTGTTTCTCTAGAACTGTAACTAGCCCAGCTTCACAGCCAGTATTTATATGGGTGTTGGAGTATCAACACTGTTATACTCCTCCAAAACACTAGCAACCTCCTTTGATAAAACAGCACCTGTTGCACCAGTATTAGTGATAACTCTATGAGTGAGGTATTTTCCACTTTCACCACAACCCATCTCCTTTATGAATGTCAAATGACGTTCTGTTCCATTTTTCTTGAATTTTTTTTTCTTTCCATCTTCCTCCGCAATCTCTTTATATAGCAATGTATCTTTGTCATGTCTTCCGTCAACAATACAAATAAATTTTTCTGCTTTATCAATGTGCTTTTGATGGGCATTTTGTTTTGTTCATTCTTTTGCACAGTCTATTTTAGACTTATCCAAAATTGTCTTCAATATTAGCACTTTGTTTGAGAAGGACCATAGCCTTCAAATCTACAAGAAAGGCATTTGCAAGGCTTGCTCCTAAGTTTGACGAACGATCACTCCTGATCAACTCGGTAGCATACGGAGGAATTTTTAAAAGGCTGTAAACACCCTTGGAATGTCTGGCAGGCTCATATGCATCATATATTTCATCACTATTTGATGACTGGAAAGAATAACATCCTGATCATAAGATGTGGAGGCAATAGGAGATGAATAAATTTGTTTTGGTCTTTCTCCTTCCACTACACTCTTTTTGGGTTTCTGAATGGCAGTTTTATCAACAGGTTCAAGTTGGAAACTACACTTGGGTCCTATTTTGGCCCTCTGGTCTGTTAAATATTCTGTCTTCCACTGGTAACTGAAATATAAAATTTTGAAATAGCAAAGTTTAAGTTTGAACAAGTACTTTTTAGAAAATAACTATACTGGATGATTTGTCGAAAAATAGGCAGCTCTGTTTTATCTAATGGACAAGGTGGTCCTCCAAATTTTGTAGCAATAACACTGAGTAGAAAGTACAGTTCGTTTTCCAACCATTTTTATAAAAATATCTGGAAAAAAAATGTTTATTCTGTTATTAAAAAAAATTAAACAAATTGAATTATAAATTCCAAAGTGAAAAAAAAAAACTAGAAAAATATAATAAAAGATGAAATAAGTATGTATTTACTTACAAAATAAATGTAAATCACTTACGCTCATGCAAAAAAACAAACCCGTGAATGAAAAATGTCTTCAAAAATAAAAAAAATATTAAATATCACAGTGAATATAAAGTTCTTTCTTTTAATAATTAAGTTTATTAAAATAAAAGAAGAGACTTAATTATTTTTGTGTTTTAAATCAGCTCAATAAACTTGAAACAAATGTAAATAAAAACATGTGGAATGCTAAAGATATTTCCGGTGCAGACTGAAAAAAAAAAACCGCCGCCTAAAACAAGCTGGAATTTGTTTATAGTTTATAGCATCTTAATTAAATATTTTTGTAGTGTTTGCTTTTTAATTTACCCAGAAGTGCACGATTTTGTATAAAACAAGACATTTTTTTTTTTTTTTCAAAACCCGGTTTTAATTTGACCTACTTATCTTTAAACACTGGACGAAATTCAGTATATTCGATTATGTTACTATTTAAATGCATTTGCGCAAAAATTGGTAAACTTTTAGAGAAAATATTTTGTGCAGTTATTATTTATGTTAATTAGCAACTTTCTCCGGGTAGAGTTAGCTGTGGTTTCAAAATCAACCTACCCTAAAAATCATACAATTTTAGTGCCTTGTATTATACTCAAGTAATTTTTTCAGGCTTGGGTTGCTTAAATTTCATGAAAAATATGGTAAATAAATGTGGCTTGGAAAGGTTGAGAAAGAAAGTAGTTAGAGATTATCTGGCATTTATTGTTTAAGCAACATTGCATGCACTAGATTCAGTCTCTGATCAAGAATCTATTCTTGATCAGTATGTGGTTAGTGCAATAAGAAAATGTGAACACAAAACTTTATGCCGTACCATTTTGTTTGGCGTTGTTTTGTGTGTCCAAACATTATTATTCTTAAAGTTGTATTTTAATTCTACTGAAAAATATTTGGAGGGCTTCTGTTCCTAGTTATATTGTCATGGTTATTTTGGGAGTACTGTATATACTTTAGTGTGAATTTTTGTGATCAGTCTTTTTACACAAAAGATAGTTGTTACACTATATGGGAGTAGTGTGCGTGTGTGTTTTTTAATCATGCATTTTTGGTGAGCAGTTGCACTATGCTCAGGTAAAAGAAGAAAAAAATTCTTAAAATTCAGGGGTTGCTTTATACATGAGTACATATGGTAAATGAATGCAACTTTGGAAGGTAGAAAAAGAATTAGAAGTATTTAAGAGATAAGCTGGTATTTGTTGCTTAAGCAACATTGGGCCAATTTGTACTGTGGACATGATATTCAGTTTGGGGAAAGTCTGAGAGCATGACAAAGATCTCTTTGTTGCTTTCATTGATCTCACTAGGTCCTTTCAAGAGGTGTTCATTGAATACTCAGTGTCATGTCTTTACATCAAGGGGTGATGACCTCCGTTAGATCTCATGGAGAGGTTTTATCATGCTGAAAACGTTTGATGTAAAAGGCATTATATTTGAGATTAGGACATGTGTTGATTTTTTAACCGACAACACTTCAAAGCAAGAACATCTGTAACCATCCCCCAGCTGTTGGTCCCACTGTTGATGGAAACACCTTGAAAACCATTTACTCTTTCACCTAAGATGGTCAGTGAAATTGAGTACATAATTGGAAGGGCTAGTCCTGACTAAATATAATATAGGTATTGAAGTCATCCTTATGAAAATCTAATGGTTAGCAGGTCATCTTTCTCATGAGTGATGAAACTTCCAAAACACCTCCCCTTTAAGCTAGCTTCTATCGAGCAGGTCAGTTGGAAGGCCACTCTTGCATTTTAAAGACAATCTGAAATGTTGCAGCATGGGGGAGGGGGTCAGAGTGCAAGAGTTTGGACATGCCCTGCTTCTTACCTATCGAGTGGTGCAGACTTGAAAAACTAGATCAAATGCATTCAAATGTTAAAGCAAGTTGACAGCATGCTGCTCCTTTCGGTAGTGGCTTTCTTGTGTGCAGTAAAGCAGGCCTTGCTGCCTACTTGCTGAAACCTGTGGCAATTGATCCTCAACCACTCTGGCAAAATTCATCTGTCTAAAAGTTTGCTAAGCAGCTGCAGGCCTCGGTGCATATGCGTGTCCATAAAAGTTGAGTGACTGTTGCCTCGTTTGTTGTCTGATGCGAGACTTCACTTATATATTCTGGGTGAGAAAAGTTGCATGCTCATGAAGAACAGTAACTTAATAGGCATACTACTTTATATTTTTAGGGTGTGATGAGAACAATGGAATACGAGTGGAAATCTAGCTACCAAAATACTTGATTTTGTCATAGTATATTTAAAATTTCATTTTAAGTATATTAATTTTGCAATAAGTATTAACTTGTTTGTAGGGATGCATATTTTGAATTGGCTGTCTAAGGATGCTCAGTTTACATTGTTGAAGGCACCATATTCAATTTTATATTTCTAGATAATTCAATATTCCTTATAAATTGCACATTGTAGGCCTTTAATATCCTTTCCCTCTTAACCAAATTATTAGCACCTTTTAAATAGAAAAAGCTAATAACTTTTTTATTCCATATTCTTATTATAAAGTTTTCTTATTGATTTGTAGAAAGACCAATGTTCCTGGCACAAAAGATACCAGCCATATCCGAATTATTTGGGGTAAAGTAACTCGTCCCCATGGAAACAGTGGAGCTGTACGTGCTAAGTTCAGAAAGAACTTGCCTGCGAGGGCCATTGGCAGACGTATCAGAGTTGTACGTAGAGATCAGTTTTTCACTATACTTTGTCTTTAAGTATGGTGCAATTTGTGCCATTTAAATGTCCTATTTATGTGTACATTAATATCTTTAAATTTTATAGTCTTTTAATTAATGTACAACCAATCAGGATGTTAAAGATGGCTTCCATATTTACTCAATGATATGTGTTTTTATATATAAGCAAAAAAATATTTTTAATTTGGTTTTGAAATGGTATTTGTAAATTTGAAAATATTGATTCTTCATTTTACTTTGTCAGTCAAGGAAGCAAAGTAAAAATTTCAAACCTGGAAAAGTTTTAAAATGTTACTTTTGTACTCTAATCACATGTACTTAGAAACATTTTTCTGATATAATTTCTTATTTGTTTCAGATGCTGTATCCTTCAAGAATATAATTCCTTTATATGACTGGAAATAAAATTCTGTAAATGAATTTGGTTTTATTTCTTCGTATATTTACTAAACCTTTTATCAACCTAATTTTTTTTTCCAGTTTAAAACAAGAGAAGACATCAACAACATGACTACAATGAAGTTTTATAGGCCCTTTTTAATCTTGAAATTAATGCTAAAAAATTTGCACTTTATGCCACATAACTGCATTTATTTAAGTATCCCATGTAAAAAGTTCTGCCAACTGAACCTCAATTATCAAAACACTAGTTATTGTATTTGTAAATTTCCTGTCACATCTGTAGCAAGAAGTGGGGTAAATCAACTTAAGTTAGTAAATTTATGAGTGATTACTTCTCTTTAGTTAATAATCTATACAAATATTTATCTACATTTAGACAAATCAGTTCCTTTACTTCTACATTTCTTATATTGCAGTCATGTTTGTTCAAGGTGCTCAGATAATGTTTTTCTTAAATGATTGTCTTGCTTCAATTTGGCCTTGAAATAAGTTTTCTCATTCTGTTGCTAATCTTTTTCATCTAAGAGATATTCCCATTTCACTTGTATTAAACAATTACTAACATGAAAAGATCTTAAGGAAAAAGTGATTTCTATAGTACCAGGAGTAATCAATGAATCAGATACTATTGATTGTCTAAAAATTATAAAGGGAATGGATTAATTAAGCAGTTCATTAGCCTCTATTTTAGTTATGAAATCTTTATCTGTTTTATTGAACCTCAATACTGTTTCATTGCATTTCACTATTAAAACTTTCTAATAATTGATGGCACAGGTACACTTAATTCAATAATAAATCCTACCAGAGAATCTCTACTTGTTCCTCCAGTAAATTCCATTAAGCTATGATGTTGAAGGCTGTGCTGTATCTCACTCTCATCACAAGTCCTGAAATAATGGGTTGATAGATGCTTTTAGCTTTAGTTGACATTGCATGAAACTGACTCAAAGTGTGTTGGCCTGAAAAACTATTGCTAAAATTCTTTGCAAACTTCTATGGCTTGTAATCTGCCAGAGATAGCTTAACATTTTCATCAAGGTGTTGATTCTTGACATGTCTTCATTTTTATAATTTTCATAATGAATCCATTTTTCCTCAGTAACTATCTTGTCTAAATGTTTTTTAACTAATTCTAATTTTCAAGTTCTAGAATCTTTCAAAGGGTGTGTGTGTTTTTTCTCTCCAATGAGTTCAATATCCCTTATTCATTTCCCCATAAGCAGGGTAACTGTTAAAGACACAATTTTCTTAATAGCATGAAAAATGAGACTAGGTCTTTTGGCTCTTCTTTATTTGTCCTATTTATTTGTGTGAAATGTTTTGAAATAACTGATACCTATAATAACCAAAACGATACAGCACTTACCACAAAGAAGGATTCAACATTCTAGATGTCTTTATTATACAAAAGAAAGCACCCACATTAAATATCTTTCACCACAGAAGTCACTATCTTGAAGTGTATATAAAATATTCAACATGCATACAAAAAAAATAAATAAAACTTGTTAATTTTCTGGTGTGATTTTGCTGTTTAAGCATTACACATGATGTCACTTTGGACTGATCCAAATTCTATCATTATAAAATTGTTGGGATGTAATCAACAAAATCTTCTATCTTGTTTTTGATCATGGCTAAAACGGTTGAAAGTTTTTTTAACAAAGCGGACCCAAATATTAACCTCATTGGTTAGCAATTGAGATATATTTTATTCTTGCCAGAAAATGTATGCCAACTCTTAGTGTTCAAATTTGATTTCTGCATTTGAGGTTTCCATTTGTTGCTTCAGATAAATTATGTGTGTGCACGCTATGGTAATTCAATACAGTACCCCCTTTTTCTGCAAGATAAGTAGGGCATATACAAAATAGATTATGGGAGAAAAGTTTTTTTATGCCATTTGATACATTGGCTGCATTATGAGTTTTTCTGAGAAATGTTTTTAAGTTTTGAGAGCAACATCAGAATTATTCAAATGTGCCAGTTTCAATTGATGGAAATATGAACATGTCAAAATAAAGCCCTCTATGAGCAGGTTGTAAATAGGTGGTAGCACTGTCCTTTGCTGCATTAAAAGTTTTATTAACATCAAAAAACTTAGTCAAAAAAAGTGGATTCCTTGAGAAAAAGGAGACTGCAGGCAAAATAGGAGTGGCTCCATGAAGAGTGCATAAATAGAAAGAATGAGTATCACTGATAAAGCAGATATAAATAAGAGAAACACATGACTAAAGAGATCCCCTTCAACAATTCATAAAATCAAAATTATTAATGTTTATAATAGAGGAATATACTTTGAATTATGAATGAATACATTCCCATGATGAAAAGTAACTGGAATAAGGAATGTAATATTTATACCAGAAACGGCAATACTAATACAGAAAGATGTACATCTGTGTTTTATAGATTATGCACGGTACTACACAAAGAATTGTTTGAATTGCTAGGTAAGTTTTATTTGGGACGGATATTAGAGTAACTCACAACTTATACTGGGAGCAAACCACCTGCTTGATTCATACCTTTTTCTGAAGAGAGTATTTGCGCGTAAGTGAATGTAACGAAATCAACTAGAATGTGCACTCATCTTTCTAATTTCTCATTCCTAGTCGCTATCCGTTACAACACAAGCACATAATGAGGGCTTGGAGAATTTAATACTCACAGGATATATTGAAGGCAAGAGGGACAGAAGAAAACCGTGCGTGACATACATAACGAGTTTGTGTAAATGGTTAATAGAACAGATATAAAAAGACAAGACTTAATAAGAGCTTCAATGGACAAGAAGTTGTTGAAAGCCGTGATTACCCACGTCCTGAAAAGACTCGTCACAGAAGAAGAAGCGCTTAATTAGTATGAAATTGTAGTAACGAAGGCTTGCGTACATATTACAGAATAACGTTTAAATCTGTCGATTAGGAAGATAATAATATTCTTTGGCAATCATGAAATGGACCTGTAATATCGATATGAACATGGTCAAACACATGCACATACATACCAAATTTTCCAAACTGCATTACAAATATACGAAACATTTCCAAACTAGCAACAAGAACTTTTCTCTTTAAAAAAAACTCTAATCAAGCTTTCGCACACATCTTTACAAAAGAAAATTGTAATATTCTGCATATAAAAAAATATAAATGTCACAAACTCTATCCTTTTTTCGTAATTGAATATAGTTGTCATTTGATTTTTTTTTTTTTTTTTTTATTTAAATTTATGTTTGTGGATGTAGCATGTTTCATTTTCAGCAAAACATTTAAAACATTCACGCAAACTTCTTAGATCCACAACACTATGATACAAAATTTTAGTTTGAAGAAACCGAACAGAATTTTCTTTGGTTCGCAACAATGCTATATTTACGAAATCTGTCAAAAACTGCTAGTAAATTATGTTCTGCTGACAAAGACTAGGACGTCGCGAATGCTACAAAAAAAAAAAACTGAAAGCAGCGCCTGTATTACTTGATTCATGAACTGTTGAAATGATTGCAGAACATTTGGTTTTATTCCAAACAGTAAACGAAGAAATTTGAACAGCCTGAAGAACAGTTTGGCAGCGCGTAACAACTCAGCACCAGAAAAACGTAACTTTTTTAATAACCAAATAAAAGTAATTTATTAAGTATTACAACATTAATTAGTGAATATTTTTCTTCAAATAAGGCATTATGTAAAATACGAATCAGTTTTTTGTTTTTAATTATTTTTAATAAAGTAAATCGTAAAGAAATTTATTTTTTAATAAATTAAAATGACATAAAAAATAATTCGATAAAACACTTGTTTTTAATTATTTAATAAAGTAAATCGGAAAATGCAAAACAAAATGAATCGGTTTTTATTTTTAATAAAGTAAATCGTAAGAAAAATATTTTTGAATAAAGTAAATCGACATTCTAAAATATTTCTATAAAAATAATTTAAGATTTACTTTATTAAAAATAATTAAAAACAAGAAACTAGTTTGTTTTACATAAAGCCTTTTTAATTTCCTTATTGGAAGAAAAATATTCACCAATTAATAAATCACTTTTATTCGGTTATAAAAAAAAAAAGTTGTGTCTTTCTGGTGCTGAGTTGTGTCTTTCCGAAAGTTTTGTGATCGCCGTTTTTTCTTTGTATTATCCGAATCATCTACAGGAATTTTGTGATAGGCACGAATGAGATTAATTAAAAAATAATACCGCATAATTGGTTGGTAAAATCCTGGATGTTTGATATCGATTAGGAACGGTAATAAAATTAAGGTCTCCAAGAAGCAGTTTTTATTTAGAGGCCACGTATATTGGTGAAGACCAACTGCTATATGAAGGATGCCTTATTTAAAATTCCTGCTTTGCAAGCTTGAGATTATCATCGGCCAACCAATTAGGGTGAGAAAAAAAAAAGATGATTCTGCAGTCATGATCCGATATTTCATTACAGACGTATTACATTAAGGTTCTGATATATCTGGAAATTAAGATAATATCTGAAAATTACCAGTTTTGTTCTGTCACCGCGGCTCTAGGACTAAGCGCGTTTTGAAAACGACCAACAGACTTGATATATAAAAACTTATGTGAAATAAATAAAGCCCTCTGACTCTTTCCACTATCTAGAACAAAGACATTTCCAAACCCCCAGGGCTGGTGGTAGGAATTGCGGGGCCCAATTAGAAAAATGCTCGTGGGACCCCTACTCTACAAAAGTATAAATTTATGTATGTTTATATGACGTGTAGTATGCTCGTCTTTAATAAAAATTAAATGCTTAATGTGTAGAGGACCGTGTGGGTTTGAGTGTTGTTGAATTAGGAACACGTGTTGTTTATTTTGTTAGAAGGTCCAACTACAAGAAAAATGCCAGACTCAAGCGAATTTTTGCTTGAGGATGAAATGGAACTAATGTCTTTAATTTAATTACAAAGTTAAATTCGGAGCTTTCAGCTTCCATTTTTGAAACATGGTTAGAACTG